ATCGTCTAGAGAGCCGTCAGCACGTTTGCCATTCCAATTAGGTATAGAATATAATGACTTAGAATATTCTTTATTCAAATAAACGTCCATTTAATTTTTTTTTAATAGTTTTACTTATTTTTTTATCTACCACTCATTCGAAAAGCTGTCTCATCACGAGAAGAATGAGCAAGAAAGTTGTGTTGCTCTTTTAAATTATTGCTGTTACTTTAAATTTTTAAGTTGAAATATGTGAATACTTACGACCAAATACATTAATTCATTAGAGTATATAAATAAAATATTATTAAGACAAAATTATTCTTTGCGTTTATTCATTACGAATATAAAATATGCTCTTTTTATAAAATTTGAAAGTATATATACACCTAATGTATGAAATATAATAATAGATAAGATATTTACATCATCAAGTTACTCAACACCTAGCAATCGAGGGTGGTGACTCTGTGAAAATTTCCTCTGCAAACTTCCCTTGACGTCATACTAGGATATCATTAGTAATGCAAAATAATGGGATACAGACACCTCGTGCCGTTTGCCAGCAAATGATTAATGTTGTTCGCCATTAATTCTTATTTTTGATGAGAAATTTGGCTTACGCTGTCAGATGTCGGGGCCAGATTAATACGGGCTGACAGTGCAACTTGTAATATGAACACGACTAGAACGACATGCTGGCAACCGTCGCTAGCAGTACATGAACAGCACCAAGAACAAATCGTATGATGTGATGTGGTAACTTTATGCATTGCTATTCTGCAGGTCTGTGGTGTTATGTCTCTATAGTCTATAAAGGCATATATTACATATACATATATTACATATCTCACCCTATATACGTAACAGCCTACATAATCAGCTACTTGTCGACAGCAAAAGGTGCGATAGGTGTTACAGAAAATACTACATAAATAGTTTCGGTATTAGCAGAATTTAAATAAATTGTAAAATATATTGCAATATACTTTACGATTTAGTTAAAGTTGTAAAATATACAACGCTAGTAATTATCTCACTTAGAAAACTGTTACATGCCTTAATGACAAATATTTAAAGATGAGAATTGTATTCTACATAACCGATTCTATACATAAATAATTATTTCTCGTCTTCGTGTATGTAATTTTTTAATGTTTTCGAACGTAACCTAAATAAAATAAATTGTAGACTTGTATGTATATACATACAAGTAATAAATTGAATATTGCGATTAGTTTGTGCAGGCATACTCACTTTATTATATTTCCTAGTAATGTATTAAATTACAATCATTTCCTGTACACACACAACGAACTGTATATATAAATATAACTGGAAAACATCAAAGCTGTAATGCATAGTTTATTCAGCAACAGAACTAACAGAATAGTTTGCTCCATAAAAGGTCCCGCTACAAAGAGCTAGATAAAATTCCTGTACAACCGCATCGGTGACAAACTCGGGTGGCATCCAAAGGGCTGACTGTGTCACCGTGACTATGCACCCTACAAACAACGCCCCATGCATATTTAGCCTACTGAAAATCAAAACTCGTTATTATTAATGATTCCACGCCATGACAATCTAAATATCTGACGGAGCCCGAAAGTTATGCACTAATCGCGCAAAATTACTCCCAGCTAATTCTGGAGCTCCGAAATAAATGTACACAGTCACCAGATGCGATCGTCGGAATCATCTTTCAAAATAGGAAGCGAAGAAAAATCACTTAACATTCAAAGCATTCAGCATCTTTATCTTTCGGATACAAGAGTTCATTTTATGACCATTAATTTTGCCTTTTCCTCGGGTGTTTTATCACAACGGCTGCGAGGCTCTGTCGCGCGTCTCATTAATCAAAAGCATTTGTTTACAACGAAGGGAATTTGATTTGATTAAAATAATTCGCAATATCCTTGATAAATATCACCCTCGGTCTCCGTTTGATCTCGCTGAAATTAATGGTGGAGGATTCAATCACGCAAATGCTGCCGCCGCGATTCTTGCCGTTTCTCGTTGGATGGTGATGATAAAATATCACTGTGATGACTATCGTTTATTCCAACTTTTAATTTATATAAATCAAGAAACAATATTATCCGTCAAGATTCAGTGAAATTGACGATCTTACATATTTCTATACTAAATAGCATCAAAACGATTTGCAACTTCCATTTAAGCCTGAAGATTAGAAAATTATTGTCAATTAAATCTGTTTCATCTTAACATATTATATATTAATCAAAAGAACTGACAAATATTAGAAAAAATCTAATACAATACTAAAAAACAATAGGTATGTATGTGGACCATCGAAATGGAAGAGTATTGAGGGCTAGTAAACAATGCTATCTTTCGGTAACAAGGGGTATAGGATGAATAACGATCGACGTCACACCGATGTGTGCCGGTTCGACTGGCATACAGTGCGAGTGCTGGCGTATGCCGAGCGGATACAACTACGCCCCGAGACTATGGCTTAACCCGCCGCGCGCCGATTAATCGCAGCTAATTCGAACCGAAACGGAATTAAACGGACGAATAAATTGATCCCGACGTTTTGTCTCATGTTTATTGATGATTTTTGGTATTATTGTCATTAGATATATTTACTAAAGTCTACCTTTTTCCGGTATTTATGTAATGTATACGATTATATTGTTGTCTAATGTTTAAGAAAGTATGTTTTTATAAACAGCCCAAATCAAATAATGTCGTCACGAAAATAAATTGTAGATTAAAATAGTTAGTTTAAGTAGTAAAAGCAAGAATTGCTTCTATAAAATGAGTGATATTAAACATAAGTAGTAAAAATAGCAAAACAATAAATGGATGTTTTTGAAATATTAATATAAATTTTCCAAGAATGCAATAATTAAATTCCAATTTCACTGTTAATGGAACGTAAATGAGAGCTTATAACAAGAGAAAGCAAAACAAACAGTACAAATTATATTAAATCGGAGATAATCCTGTCAATTAATTGGAGTTAGCATTGAGAACCGGTCGGTCGCCGGCGCATGCGTAAATTAAACGAGCCGAGATAATGCGAGAGCAAGGAAGCTTCCACTCAGACGAAGACAATTAATATGATTTAACTGAGTTGCCTGACATATTGATGACGCCAATTCTATATAATAATATTATTATTCAAAATAATTGAAACAATTTACTGAACAGATAATGATTAATAACCGATAAAAAAGAAAAATTAGACATTATTAAGAAATTAGTCTACTTGGAAATATTTTTAATACCAATATTATGAAGCTGAAATTTTAAGTGCTGCTAAGTGCTTGAAAAGATATTTAACTACGACTTTATTCACCTAAAAGTTTAGGCGTGTTATAAATTCTCAATCTAAAAGAACACTAATTGAAAAAAATCGCCTAATATATAAAGATAATTTAAAATTCTCATGTTTTTGTTTGTCTTCGATATATTTCAGTATTGTTAGCTAGGTTCGATTGCTTACTAGTGGATCGGTTTGTATCGTGATTACAACGTAATAAAGTATTAGCTGTTGTTGTCTCTCATTCGGGTATGTACAATATGGGGCCATTTCTTTAAAAACAGCTCTAATCCCAGTGTAGCGCGGGGCGATCGTCGGCTGACAGTGACACATCGGTACACGGCCCGCTGTCCGACTGTAATTCTACCCCGCACTCGCTCCACCATAACACCCCCCCCCCCCTCCACTCCCCCCACCTACCGTCCTTTGGCTCACACGCTTTTATTTTCCAATCTACAGAATTAATTAGGAGGATTAGCCGAAGTTACTACAAGGTACAGTTATATAAAATAAATAATAAACAAAAATTGAGGACCCGTCATCATAGTCTGAGCAGTGTCCGTTTGGTACAGACGTACGTCTTTACTTCGGTGTGTTTTGTTCATCTAGACAATTTTTATAATTGGGATAAAAAATGGTGGCGATAGAATTAGGCTTACCCCGTTACCGTAAGGGACGAATAAAGCTAAATCAATCGATATAACACTAATGTTAAAAAAATGTGACAAATAGTTTTATTATTAATCAAAATTACCAATTATTATTTCAATATCAATTGAACTATATATTTTGAGTCCAAAACCTGGAATCTGTATCACTTAGATAGAATAAACACCTAAATATTTAGTATCTTTTCAATATACTGCCATATATAAAAGTACACATATGCAACGGAAATTGAAAAATATGATGCTCGTAGAGTCGTGTTAGGAATAAATAAGTATATTTACGTCACAGTCACTACAACAACACAAAATTGCTTTATGTAAAATGTTGATAGAAAACCTTGTTTTATTTACATACTTTTATAGTAATATTTATTCACATACTACATAAAAATTTATTCGAGATAGGTTTAAAATATAAAAGTATATGTGGTGTTTCATCATTGGCATACATTACTGTCCCCCCGAGGACGCAGTCAATCAAAGTGGTTCAAAACATTCAATCGGAGCACTTGAAAATGAAGTCAAAACCGCGAGTATCGTTCAAAGCGAACCCACCGATCAATCACCATCCATTAAACAAGAAAAGAAAAGCGCTTTCCCCCAACGATTGGCTCTCGAATCGGGCCAATTTACATGAGAGCCGCTTTTTCCTCGCATCGAGATTAGCCCTTGAATGAGTTTGATGAATTGTTCACACCCCGCAGACCGGCCCGGCGAACGGTCATTTGTTAAAAATACACCCGATCCATGGATCTAATTGTCTCCTCTAATTTCACACTCCCTCCATGATATCTACAAGCGATTAAATGAACAGGCTTTTTTTTAATTGCAGCATTGTTTTAACTATGTTTTCTGCGATTATTTATTGTTCCTTTCATTGCAATTCCAAGTATGTCAATAGAATAAACAGGAGTAAAGAGTCGGATTCCGTAAAACATAAAAGAACTTAGGAGTAATTGAAAATAAACAACGATATTCTGGTGGAGATCTGTTTACCATTCTGGTCGTCAACAGTTTTCTAATTAGAATGAAGTGAAGGAGGTAAGTAAAGTTCTTACCTTTCAAGATGTTTTACGATGTCCTCGTATGCTGCTCTACAGTTCTCCCATATACCAGATCTGTCAACAAATAAAATAAAATAAATAAATATACTCAAGTAAGAAAAGCAAAATAAATAAAAGATGTAAATGTCGATAAGATGAGTCTTTTTGAAATGTTAGAAAAAAATATTTTTAATAGAAAGTATCTTCGAAGTCCACCAAACGGACAGAAATATTAACTAATTGTTCTTGATTGTTTTAAAGAAAAAGTTCTTAAATTAAAAAGGGTTTGAATTTAAAAGGAATAATTATGAGCACTCAATATTAAATGTTCCGTTAGGTTGAACGAGGGGTCGAAGAAATTAATTATGTTTTAAAAACAATCGCTTATATTTGTGCCGTAACAACTCATGCGTGATCGATGAAATTGTTTCTCGATTACTTTACTCTTTATTTATTAATTAAGCTTTTCTTCGGCATTTGTAATAACAATTATAATATGGCGCTGCATTCACGAATCGTTTAACCCTTACTAATTTTGCCGTGTAAACTAGTTTTGTTTTATAATAGTAGGTAGGTCATGTAATAACAAGTTGTAGAATGCAACGAAGCTCACACCAATTATTCTAATTATTTAATTGTTGGTCAGTCAATATAATAAACGATGCATTGTTGATGCTATAAGTAAATCGATTATCAAACAAACGTATAGGGTGGGTGCAGAGCACCTGTTCAGTATTACAGTGGCAGTAAGACAGTAGGGTAAGTGAATTGTGGGTCTTCCTACGGAAATTACGGCATTCAGTGTTTGTACTTTTCTAACTGGATTAGCTGGCGACTTAGACATTTAACCTGTATCACTTTGACCTGCTTTAGAGGTTTCTTTTCGTGAACTTAGTAATGTTAAGACTCTTGAAGTGTTTACTTAAGTACCGTAAATAATTATACAGTCAGAAAGTAATAGACCTTATTGTTATTTATTTTTCTTTTAAGATTAAAATATACAATAAGTATAGGGCCTAAAAATAATCGGTATAACAAAATTTTAGGACATGACATGGTTTTGATAATATATTTTTCCAATGAATGGCTATAATATACAAAAAAAAAAACAAACAAAACACTCAAATAGTAGCATGTCCATACTAATCTATACTTATATTTTAATGTGAAAGTGTATGCTTTTGTCACCTTCACTCCAAACAGCTGAGCAGATCTTAATGAAATTTAACATGAAGGTATACTGCATGAGGAGAAACAAAGGTGATTTTTATTTCATAAAATTAATTGAGAGGGCGAAATAGGGTATGAAAGTCCGTGTAGACAAAATTACAGATAATAGCTAGTTGTACAATAAGTATATTCTATCTATACATAGTTACTATAAATCTATATATAACTACGCATATAAATGTTATCTCGAACACTGTTGAAAGGTTAAACTAACCTTGCGAGCGCTTCCATGTTATGCATAGGCTGTCCTTTGATGATGGACCCGTCGGGCCGAGGCACCCCAGGATGGGGCATTCCAGGTGACATCAGTGCATGCTGGTGCATAAAACCCATTGGTCCTAAGTGTGTAGGGGGCGCGTTGTAACCATTCGCGAGAAGAGGGGACTTCTCCATTCGAGCCATTTCTGAAACAATAATAATTGCGTTGCATGACTAATTTCATTATGATTATTATTATCTATAATTAGTATATTATATTCGTAAATATAAAACCTAAATTTGCATGAAAAATCAACTACAGCTAGGTACATAGTTAGAGTATACAGTGAAGTTTTTTTTATTATTTCATAATAATGTGTATAAACATCTATTTTTTAGATACTTGAATACTTGAATCCGACAATAAAAAGGGAAAACTGCTTCGTTGCCTGATTCATACAAAATCATATATTGTAATAACGGTAAGACAACAATATTCCACCACACTTTCAAAAGCTATAGATGTGACAACTTTAAGAAACAAAGGTAAGCGTTTATTACCTATAATTATTATATATTCATAGCGGAAAGACAAAATTATTTCCAATTATTCCATTCGCTGAAACTCTAATAAATAGGCACTCAAAAGTAGCGCCCAGGTAAAATCCAATTAATGCCCAGTATTATCATTTAATTACACGTTCCAATAATCGAATCGCTCGTAAAACGGTGTACAAACAATAATAAAATGAGCAATGAATTTCGAGACTATTGTTTTCTGGGTACCACAAACAACCCAAGTAAACATTGAGGGGTGTTGGGCAAATATTCTTAAAATGACCCCCTTAGAGGGTGTTTTGGAGGTACAGGGTGGTCTTCCAATGTCCATGACCTCACCCCTGGGCTTGTGAGGTCACCAAACGGAATGGGGCGTCGGAAACAATTAACAAGGTGTCGAATTAAACACGAATTAACGTTTGGACCGTTAAAGGAGTACCTATACCCTTTTCCATTGTGGCGGCGTGTACTGATTCAGGAATTTCAGAATATCAAATATTTCTGTTGTGTTGTAGAATTAAAGGATCTCATGTGACGTCAAATTAAAAATAGCATACATGTATAGCATTTAAGGTTATAATTAATCCACGTACAGAAGTAGATTGAGAATGGTAAGGAGATTAAAATTATTTTATAAATCCGAATATTGCGTAGGCAATTTACAATAGAATATATTTAGATTTTTAATAACAACGTATACAATGTCACACAATCTATGGAATATAGTATATAAAGTATATTACAATTTAAGGAGTGTAATATAAATAAATAACGTCGATTTAGATAGATATGTAACTTAAAACTGAGGATAGCTTTTATAAATTTTTGGGTAAACCCAATATTCTTTTATATAATTTATTAATAAATAGAATAATTTATTAAGGTTTAGGCAATCTAATATAAAATATAATCAATAATCAATGGCTTAAAAAAATATATAATATTTGATAATAGTTAAACCTCATAAATAAATATTTAAACTGCTACTACTGAAATCTACTGACTACATTTTTTTTATTTTCTTTAACGATTTTCCAATTTTTCATTCACGATAATAAATACCTATGCTTCTTATCCATTTATCCATAACGGTTAAGAATCATAGGTTAAGTAAGATTATAAATTTAGTGTGTTGTGTGGTAAATTTATTTATGCATATATAATAATTTATTAGTAGAACAAAAACATTTCGTATAAATTGCAAGCGATAGATACTCGCCAAGTTACAGACAAACAAACATTATGACCAATGAACCCTGAATTAATTGCTCGGGTCTATTGACTTAGTTACCGCTTCGGTTATCTTTTGAGCCACACAACGTAACTTCGTATTTATTGTAATTAATTACTTGAAATACATACATTGAATTTTGGTCAACTAATGCTAAACAGGTTATCCCTCAGTGGGTATACAAAACAAAAATAAGTGTATAAAACTTTAAATTTATTAACACTCAACAATAACAGACCTATTATATACTAAAACAAATTACGAGAATGTATGTAAATATAATATGTATATCGATTAATTAAATAATGATTAGTTTTCTTAACAGTATATTATGTTTTACTTTATACCACAGCCAGTAGAATATAATACAGACAATGTTACAGTTCCTTTTGAAAGTAGGCTTGCTCTTCCAATTTAATTACAGTAGTAGAAATGTGCAGAATACATCAACTAACTACTGTTAAGACTGTATTTCAACTTAGACATGGTCAATAGACTTTGTCCATAAAAACTAATTGTGAAACCTCTACAGAATGTGATTAGCACATCGAAGTGACCAAAACAATACAATAACAAAAGCATATAAAATCAAGGGGGATACTTCAGAAACCACAATCAGGTCACTAAACCGAAAAGCATATATTTACAAATCCCAAAGGCACAAAGTAATACCCTAACACCGCATTGGTCAACCGCACTTACTAATTAACTAAATACGTGTTAAATCTCGTAATAACCTGCGGTTAAAACAACCCTTTTCCGACTTCTCTTTCTAAACAGGCCGTATTAGTTAATATACCATCTCTTTCTATAAAAGTTAGTGGTCAACAACTTGTTGTTTTAAGTAATTCAATTGTACAGGTGCTATTATAATTTTTAAACGAATTATCAAAATTATTCCGAGCTCCTTCGACATGGAAATGTCTTTATTTTTATAATAGAGACTCATCTTTAAGGATCAAGCATTTTAATTAGTGTATCATTTTAATAAACAAATCAGTTTAATAAACAAAAAAAATGCGATGTTATTTTTGTTTGTTTGTTTCATTATATTACTGTTATATATGTATAATACAAAGTGCCAAATAATTAGTGGTAAAATATTGTAAGTAAAGTAGAGTGTTATATACATTTGACGGCTTCAATGGTGTAGCTGTTTACCACACTTCCTTACTACCGATGGTCGCTGGTTCGATTCCTCGCACAGTACAAATATTTGTATTTATGAGTATGATTGTTTGTATCGGTCTGGGTGTTTTCTATATATTATGTATATATTTACAAAAAAGTAACTATTTATTTATATCAGTTATCTACTCATAACATAAATTCTCCTTAGCTTGTACAGAATGGTTGTGTGAATTATCATAAAATATTATATTATTATATGAAATACTTAAACAGAATAGACCGCAAGAAATCATTTATACCTAATCAAGGTATAAATGATTTTTTGCGGTCATATTCTAAGCTCAAATCTTAAAAAAAAGAAGCTTCAAACCATACCACAATAAAAAAATTAACTGCTACAATAAATGTAGCTTGATAATCGATAAAAATGTTCATCGTTTACCATTATGTCTATTATTAGGCGAATCCGTTGATCAGGCATTTAAAGAAATGAAACGTCGATTCCACCCCGCCATTATATCGATTTTCATCGATTTATTGATCGAATATCGACTGTCCTCGACAAATGATCGTACAAAATTACTGGCCATTATTTCGAATTAGAATCGATAGAATCGGAACCTCAATTATATCACTTATGTGTTTAAAGGAGGTTGGGATAAAAGCCATCATAACCGGCAAGTTTAAGGACCAATAACTTTTTTTAGCGAAGACAAAAAACATTTGATATCCCTTGTCGAATTAGCTGTTTTTTATAACACCAGAAGCATGAAGCGAGGGAAAACAATAGTCCAAATTAATTGAGGTTCTTCTGAAATTGTAACAAAGAACCTCTGCATTCGCAAGTCCGCGGATAATGGGACAGACATAATAACCATTGAATTTTATTACGGTGAGATTACAAAATGACCAAACGAGCAATGCATAAATGATTGGCTATAAAGTTGAAGGAACGGGCGCTGCGACTGACATTGTATCTTTCCTTGTCGCTAACAACCACTCTCTATGTAAAAAAAGTGCAAGTACTATTTGCTCGCTGAGAGTTCCGTACACCACGTGAAATTAAAAACCCAAAATAGTGTAAATTAATTCAAATTTTTCTCTTTTCCATTAGTTCTACGTAATATTTTTTTCTGTTGTAGTAAAAAAGGTAAATTTATTGTATAATACAGTTATTTTAACCTCAATTGACAAGGAATGTTAAACAGAGTTACCTAGGATTTAATCGGACGTCATTCACGGCATCTGTTACTGTCTATTTAATTGATTATTCATAACTTTAAGTTTGCCTTAGTTATTTCTTTTTTACTATACTAGAGTAAGGATATTAGATACATCTTAGTGATAACAGAGTTTGAATAAAAATGTTATGGTAGTTAATTAAATAGGCATCTTATAAACTAATGTTATTAGAGTACCATTTTTATATTTTCAGTAGTATATAATCTAGTATCTTATAGTATTTAAATGATACTAATTATATACTTGTTTATTATTTTAAATACAAGATATTGTCAATATCTATTATTAAATGTTTTTGTAGTACTTTGATTGCAAGCTTAATTTAAACAATATGATTCGTCCTTCGATTATTGCAAGAAAAGATCTCACAGCATATCATACCAGTAGCAGATATAATGTATTATGAATAAAATCCTATAAAAATAAATTAAAGTTATGTAATATGTTTATTCTTAAATAATATAAAACTGAGAAAAAAATTATACGTCACAACTATTTTTACATTATAATTTAACTTTATATCAATAAGTTCACACTGCATTCTAAAACTTAAGCATCTTTAACTTAGCAAGACCATAAATGTCGAGTATGGTACCCTCGAGCTGCGAACAAACAAACACACGGAGGAGGCATTCCATTATTATTGTAAATAAAATAAAAGGCATGTTTTATTAAAGTTGTTGCTGTCGTAAAATAGGAAATATCTATCGTAAACGCAGCCTCCTAGACTTTATAACTCGGTGGTTTTAACTGGAAACCCTAACATAACCGTAATGGCCTGTAAATCACGGGAAAGGAATAAATTATTCGACATATTAAGTCCCAGAGTATAAATACGGGGATAATAAATGCAATACAATGTAGTATTAAGTAATTATATCCAAGATCAATCTGTAATACTGTTTTTCGATATCTAATAGTAAAAGTAAGTTGGTACTTTATATTTTTTTGAATGATTCTATATTTACTACTTTCTTATTTTTGTAACCTTAACATCAGTCATGTCATGTCATGTCATCTTAATAATGTTTAGAGTACCTACGC